CGGTGCTACTCGCCTTCCAGGATGGGGACCGCGTGATCCTCACCGTGCCTGGTTGGAGACACTACAAGATATGGCTGCCAACCGATGTCAGTGGCGTTCTTGTTGTCAGTTTCTGTCCAGATTGCCTGAATGAATGTCTGGAGGTGTAGGCACCTCGGAATGATTGTGTTAAGCTAGCACTAAGTCCCTTCCCCGTCCACCTTTATTCTTTTCTTTACAATAAGGCTTTCAAATAAGTCATGGTTGTACGGCAGTGAAGCATCGGTGTTGAACACTGTCATGCTGTCGATGATGATGATGTAGTTGCAAGCACCCCTTTTTACCATCCATTCACGCTACGGATTCACTTCCTTATAGACCACTGTCGTCCTATCTAAAGTAACAGGGAAAGTCGTTAAAGCCATGGCTAAATTGGTGTTAAAATCTAAAAAAAAGTCGGCTGAAAGTGAGTCAAATAAATCGAATGAAAAATACATAAGCAAAGTCACTGTGTTCGGTGTACAAAATTGTCCGTGTTATACAACTTTGACAGGTGCACAACAGCCACACGGGTTTCGATCAGTGCTCAAAATGAACAGGCTTTAGGCATATGCTTGTCCCATCCGGCAATGCACGACACGATTCACTTGCGTTTTGAAAGACCAATACCGAGTCCGATAGCAGTGAGAGCTGCAACACCCAAAACGGCCCCGCTGATGGCCGCTATGCCAGTGATGCCATCTAAAAAATAAGAGAAAACATCAAAGCCTAACTCACTAGCAATTTTGTTCAGCCTAAGCAGACGAATCGTTGCAAAGTCGAATAATGTAAGACAATGACTATGCACAAAATTAGTGTACGAAAAATTTTCATCGACGATGAGTCGGATCATCAAGAATTCTGGTATGGTCCACAATTACATTACACAATCAAGATCACCTCGGTATGCCAAAAGTGGTCTCCTATGGGAGATCCGCAGCCAATATGTAATATTTCAAAAGGTCAACCAAAATTGATCTTTTTGAAGTTTTCTCTCTCGCGTGTGGATCCTTCGCAGTTTTATTCGTCCGCAGTAACAGTCGGTGTTTCATGAAGGTAACGATGACTTCAGTTGCGTGAGCTTGAGGGAAAAATACTTATATCACAACGAAGACGTAATGGCAGTAGTCCTGGAAACCCCAGCAAACGTGCGTAAACCCCCATTCCGGAAAGGCAAAAACTGACAAGGCATTGACCTCACCAACTAGCTAGGGATACGACGGTGGTGCTTGGTGACCCACAGTATGGTTCAAATTCACATTTAGGTACCACGGTAATTTAGATTTGAAATTTTTCTCTTGTTTACTCATGACCAGGACGGTACAGTGTCACTCCAAAACAACAGTTTGTAACACGATATATTACAGTAAGCTTTGTATCGAAATGAAATAATGCCCAAATTAATGCGGCGAACGAAATCGAAGCATTAAGGAAGCCTTACAACCATGAGTACAGTATCTAATACGAGTTGATTGATTCATATTTTTCTAACACTACGATTCAGCAAGACACATTTCTATGTAGGATACTAGGCGCTGCACTGGGATTTTTACCAAAGGCGAAAGAACCTTTGCCTGGTTGGGACCGCGTGATCCTCACCGTGCCTGGTTGGAGACACTACAAGATATGGCTGCCAACCGATGTCANAGCAAACGTGCGTAAACCCCCATTCCGGAAAGGCAAAAACTGACAAGGCATTGACCTCACCAACTAGCTAGGGATACGACGGTGGTGCTTGGTGACCCACAGTATGGTTCAAATTCACATTTAGGTACCACGGTAATTTAGATTTGAAATTTTTCTCTTGTTTACTCATGACCAGGACGGTACAGTGTCACTCCAAAACAACAGTTTGTAACACGATATATTACAGTAAGCTTTGTATCGAAATGAAATAATGCCCAAATTAATGCGGCGAACGAAATCGAAGCATTAAGGAAGCCTTACAACCATGAGTACAGTATCTAATACGAGTTGATTGATTCATATTTTTCTAACACTACGATTCAGCAAGACACATTTCTATGTAGGATACTAGGCGCTGCACTGGGATTTTTACCAAAGGCGAAAGAACCTTAGCTTTGAAATTCCTCTCTTGTTTACTCATGACCAGGACGGTACAGTGTCATTCCAAAACAACAGTTTGTAATACGATATATTACAGTAAGCTTTGCATCGAAATGAAATAATGCCCAAATCAATGCGGCCCATGAAATCGGAGCATTAAGGAAGCCTTACAACCATGAGTACAGTATCTAATACGAGTTGATTGATTCACATTTTTCTAACACTACGATTCAGCACGACACATTTCTATGTAGGATACACTGATGTCATGCTGTCGTTGATGATGATGATGACTGGTTGTTCCATTAGATCTTGTTGGGTTAAGCGATTCCTCGTCCTCCTCACTTATGCCCTTCCGTTCGGCTCAATTTCGTGAGGTGGATTTGGAGCATCCAAAGCATCTCCACTCCGATTGCCCCTCCGAAAATTAGCCGGGAAGGCGATCACCAGCCTGATGGTCATAGATGCCAACTATCCATCATTAAACTGCAAATCAAGTATAATAGGTAGAAATGCTGACATTTCTTAGCCAAATAGCAATCCTTTTAACAGTCAGTCAGCCAACCAGTTTATCAGCTCACAAACTGCACTGAAATGCAGTGATTCCAACTTTTATTGCTTTGTACACCGAAAATGAGGGGAACAAGGGAAACAGAGCCACGCGATGGAGGTTATGGTCCCATCAGTTTATTGACGTCAAAAGGTTATGTTAGTCCAGTGTGGAAAGGATTTAGAACTACGTAGTGAAGGCTATAGCTCTGATGCAAGACCGTTGTTGGCCGCGTGACTCAGCTAAATCTTATAAGCAGCCGGAAATAGGAAGTAAGTTTCAGGCTACTTAATCAGCGTTTTCTGAAGTCAGGTAAATTATGTTTTGCGGTCATCATCATCAGCTGTAAAAACTGCGTGCTTGTTGTACATTGTTTATAGCTGTCAATTTCGTCTGCCGATGATTTGGGGGATGAGGTAGATCGTTGCACACCGGGTGTGCTAGTTGATAAAATTGATGCGCAAGCAGAGGGTTGTCACTGGGGTTTTAATTTGGAAGACCGAAAGGAGAACTACGTACTGAAGATAATCGCTTGGATACATGAGACCAGTGAGGGCGTGACCGGACCATGTCTGACATGACAGGAGACACTACAAGATATGGCTGCCAACCGATGTCAGTGGCGTTCTTGTTGTCAGTTTCTGTCCAGATTGCCTGAGTGAATGCCTGGAGGTGTAGGCACCTCGGAATGATTGTGTCAAGCTAGCACTAAGTCCCTTCCCTGTCCACCTTTACTCTTTTCTTTACAATAAGGCTTTCAAATAAATCATGGCTGTACGGCAGTGAAGCATCAGTGTTGAACACTGATGCCATGCTGTCGATGATGATGGCGATGATGCATGTCTGACAGTGTCTCCGGCCCGTCACGAAAAGACTAGAAACTAACAAGGTGTGATGATTTGTGTATTGCCACGACCAACTGAGCTATCCTAAGGCGTTTTCACGCGACACTCAGTCTCTCGTACCATGTTGGTCAGTGGTTAGAGGTCTGGTGAACAGTCTTCTGATGTTCCAGATTGGGCGACTTGTTCCGCAAAAAGTGAAGTGCACTTGCGTTTACCGCCGAACACCGCAGCCTTATGGTCCAGGACCCTAATCGTCCTCCTGTCAAGGTGAGCGCTCCCTGATAGTATCCCAAAAGGCGTACAACCATGAATTTAGAAACACAGGTAAAATCATGCCACATCAGCCGGGTCGCCTCACTTTCTGCATACATCAGGGCGAGTAAGCGAAAACAGGCTACTTCTGACGCCTCCCTTCTCTCTTTTCACGTGCTTTTCCTTCCTGCTCTTCCAAACTCATTATTAACTCTATCCATCTAGTCCCAACAGTTAGAACTGATGACTCCGTTCGTCCTGCATCGGTTTCGCAGCAAATATCTGCACGTCATCCGGCACCAACATTCTCAGTTATCTCGAAATCAATATTGAAGCCTCGAAACTCAGTCTACCTGGCTGACTTCAATGTCCACACTTTGAAACAAGCAGAATAAACTACTCTTGCTCTGACATTGGACTCGCTTGATGTTGATGTGCGTTGTGGATAAGAAACAAGAATTCAAAATATATGCACGGCGGTTTGGATACCTACCTCATCACTCTCCACTCGCTTCCGGCTAGACATCTCTGGCTATCCAGAGGCTGCTGCGACAGCATGTGCAGGGGTTGGTATCGTCCTGATCACACTGATGTTGCGGATCAATAACTGACTGCCGGTCGTTTTGGAACACATCACTCAGCTGTAACACCCTTCTGGTGCCTTGCTGCCATGCCACCCGAAGTAAGCACCAGGGCTGCCCAAGCCTAGACAGAGGGAAGTCGAGAGGCAGAGGTCGGGTTCGAACCAGAAACCTTCCGGTCAAAAAATTCGCGCTATAACCACTTGGGCCATCTCGCCCATTTGCATTAGAGTTCCTCAAGGCTCGTTTTGAGACCACTGCTGTTTCCGATCTACGTCAACGACCTTCTAGACATTCTTTCAGGTCCCTGTTTACCCCTTCCAGAAGGCTTGAAATCCCGATGTTCAAATGCCAGTGCCCTCCAAATGGATGTAGATGCAACAAAGCAGTGGTCCTTGGACTAGTACCTTCCTCTTAATGACGAATAGCGCGTCCATATGTCATTTGGAGGGGAAGGGGAGGTGAGAAGGGACCAGATGATATAACGAGGACAGGTGCCAAAAAGGATTTGGGTACCTGGTTCTCTACAAACATGTCCTTTTCACTGCACTGCGAGAAATTGGTTCAGAAGACATTCGCCGTTCTACGGATCATTTGGCGCACCTTCCCCCCTATTACTAGCATGGACCTCCAAATACTCCATGGAGCCTAGGTCAGACCGCTTCTCGAATATGCCAACCAAGTTATCTACTCAGGACGCGAGACGTAATCCTCACTGAACGTGTCCAACGAGCTGCTACGAAAACGGTTGTCGGCCTCAAATTCGTGTACTATGAAACGCGTCTCGCGATGTTTGACCTCTTTCCTCCGAAATATCGTCGCCTCCCAGGACACCTAATTTTTACCTATGCTTCGTCTGAACAAAGGATTTTCACCGTTCATCCAGATGACACACGGTAAGGACATGGAGGGATTTCTAAGCTCAGAGTGCACACTTTCATACGGCAAAAAGTTTTCTCGTTTCGAGTACTTGTTGCGTGGAATAGCCTCCACACTACATCTCGTACCCAGCTCAAAGCACTATTAGACGCTTTTTTAAGCGTATCCCGGCGCCGGAAGCCTACTGACCCGCGCCGAGAACCTAAAGAGCAGTGCTACCCCCCCTTTTGCTTGTCTTTTAGGTAAGCAGCAGCTGCTGAACGACAAGAACAAAACCACCCTGGAAATTTGGGCGATCCTGTGTCAGTTTGTGAATCCGTGAACCACTAAACTTGCCTCTGCGAACGCGTCGGTGTATTTCCTCCTTGAGCTGTTGTGTTTGATGGTTCTGCGGTTGCACTTTCAGGATATTATCACAGCATTCAAGTGCACGTTCATAATCCTGAACACTGGATTAGAAAATCTTACACTTACTGGGAGTTTTGTGTGTGCAATAGCCAGGTAAAATAAACAGTCCCTACGAAATCCATCGTCCCTAGTGGACTTGAACAAATCTAAAGCAAGTCAGAAGGCACTTCAAGATACCTTCCAGAAGGAAGATGGCTGTTTTCATATTTTGTTTTGAAGAAGTACGCAAAAGATCCAAGGCATAAGAAAACTGATGATTTTCTGTCAACTGTCCTGCACCTTTAGCTTTCAGGAAAGAGTTTCTGGAATTCTGGAATTTCGACCGGTAATATGACCCGAAACTAAGGAAAACACACCATTATGGACGACTCAGGAAGATTAGAATCAAGGAACTCCATAGTGTCGACAACCGACGAGTTTCGCGGGCTTTTCAGTCCACCAATATGGATATTTGAACTTTAAACTCCTGGATCCACGGATTGATACATAGGATCGAGACTTCCGCCCAAGTTTCCCGAGTCGGTTTTGTTCTTGTTGTTCAGTGGCTGTAGTTCACCTGAAGGCGCAAGGGAAAAAGGTGTGGCACTGCTGTCTGTAGTGTCTGTAATCCGTTGTCACATTTACCATTCTTCCTGAACTTGAACCACACTTTGTAACTGTCGTTCACATTGTATCATGACGTTTGTTTTAATGTTACGAATACACAATTTTCCGGCGCGACCTGCTGACTTCTTGCTGAACGACTGTATTTACGCCCCGTTGAACCGTTTGTTGACCGTCGAACCAGTGGGACTAAATCTCTGTGTTTGTGTCAACTGTTGAACGTCACAATAAATCCCTGTGGCACTTTTTAGCCGTGAATAATTTTCCTACCGTGGAATATATCACTCACACGGAAACATCTGCAGGAAACCTCGACGAGTGAATATTTTCCTTTCACAGCCAGTTACTGCATTTGGATCGGTGTAGTGGACTACACGGATTCACGGATTGATACACAGGATCGAGGCTTTTGCCCAAGTCTCCCGGGTCGGTTTTGTTCTTGTCGGTCAGTGGCTGTCGTTCACCTGAAAGGCACAAGTGAAAAAAGGGTGTAGCACTGCTCTTTATGTTCTCAGCGCGGGGCAGTATCCTCGCCAGCGCGAAAATTCGCATAAACAAATGTCTAATAGTGCTTTAAATTGGGTTCGAGAAGGAGCGTGCACAACCGTCGGAGGAAGGTCATTCCACGCAGCTACTACCCGAAATGAAAAAAAGTTTTGTCTAACGGATGTGTGTGCCCTGAGCTTGAAGATTTTCTTACTATGTCCCCGCCGGGTGTTTGCTGGGTAAACGGTAAAAAACCTGTTTGCCAAGCTTTGTTCAAACAGGGCGTAGGTAAGAATTAGGTCCCCTCGGAGGCGACGGCACTCCAGGGGAAAGAGATCAAGCGTCACGAGACGCGTTTCGTAGTCCACGGACTTGAGGCNGCTGATTAGGTCCTAGTCTGCTACATGTCTATATTCTAAGCGCAGGGAAGTATGCTTGACAGCGCGAGGACTCGCATAACAAGTGTGGCGTTTCGTACCCTCATTTTGCTTCCGTTATAACGTTACGTATTTTGTCAACTGCCCGACCGTTTTTTGTTTGAATAAGGAAAACTACAAAAAACGTTACTTGAAAGGTTTCGCGCAATATAAACGTGGTCACATGTTTCGATTATATTTTCTTAGCTCGCACTCTCTTACAGCGGTCATGTGCCAACTCTGGTATCACAACATTTCATACCATTTTCGGAATTTATTGTATGTGAGGACATTTTGGAAGCAGGCCCCCGGACAACACTGATTGGATTTTTGTTTATTCGCTGACCTGGGCCGACGACGAACTATTTTGAAGAGAACAATTTTGGTGAGTCTGTTACATTCGATCTATTTATCATTGTATACTCAGTCTAGGGTTATTATTTTCATTCCTTTGCCATACCATCCTGGTAAAGTAACTTACTGAGTAGCCAGACCATTACACTAGGTGTCTAATAGTACTTGGAAATGGGTTCCAGAAGAAGCGTGGACAGCCTTCGTAGGAAGGTCAATCCACGCAGCTGCTGACCGGAACGGGAAAAATTATGCCCAATGAATGTGTGCGCTCTGAGCTTGAAAATCACCGTGGTTTTTTTGTCAATGGAGAAGAATATTTTGGCAAAGATTTATTCAAACAGGGCACAAATAAGAATTAGGTCCCCTCGGAGGCGACGGCACTCCAGGGGAAAGGGGTAAAGCACCGCGAGTCGCGATTTGAAGTTCACGAATTTGGGGCCGGCAAACGTTCTCTTAGTGGCTCACAGACACGCGTGGCTATGTTGCCAGTCTGTATTGCACAGATTCTAGACAAGGAGAGTGCGTCTGGTTGGGTAAGTATCGCTTATTGGGTGCTGAAATCTGTGTTTGTAGAGCCATGCTGTCAGTATTCAGTCCTAACGACTGTTGGCGTTGGCCATTTCGTGCTGTCATGTGTTCTGCATATATTCTGGTCATGGCCACGCAGACGTGATTCCTGTTGCAAAATACCTATTTCTGTCTTCGAAGGTGCAGCAGGCACATTGCCCGCGATACCTTCGTCCTTAGGAAGGAAGATGACCGAGCAGTGCGAGAAGAGTATGCGGCCGTTATTGCCTACAAACTTGTGCGTGATATAAGACTTGAAACTGTTCAGGCATCAAGCTACTCTCCTGGGCTTCCGTTTACTGCAGCGAAAACAAACAGCGAGCAATCTAGCTAGTTACTGAGTCCATTATATTGATGAGAAGAATTGAGGTTGACATAAGAAGTATGGGTTACAAACAGGATACGTGGGATAGGTTTTGGATTAGGCAAATGGTGAATTGTAGAAGCCCTTATTCCTTAGGAGGGCAATCTATGTCATTTCTGCAAGATGAGTGGGGATTAGCACCCCGGATCCTACCAGAACAATCGTTCGGAGCCACGTGAGAACCGTTACACCACCAACCTTCGATTGGGGATCCCCAGTGAACCGAATGGCTCCAAACACTGGTGGATGAAATATTCGTTGATTTTGAAGGCAGCCGGTATTGAGTGGTCAGAGGCACATGCCTGAAAATCATTGCGCTTGGTTTGGAATTCTGAGATGAACGTGGCTCACCGTCTCTCTTAGAGAACGGTGGACAAAGAAGGAACACATCCATATGGTGAGTCGGTGATACTTCCCTTCTCATTGTCTTACGAGAATAAGGTGTGTGGTCGAAACATGCGAAAAACCGCGAAAATAGAACAACCGCGAAGATAGCGGCTAATTTTAAAGAAAAATTTCCTCAGTGGTTTTATTCTAATTAGCATTCCACTAAACGTTGCACGTTGTCGTAGAATGCGAGGCAATTATTTGAATATTGTTAACCAAGCTACATGTGTGCGCTCCACTGACGGTAGTTTTATCACTGATCCTGACAATACAGCCGACCGTTTGAATGCTTACTTTGCCAGCGGCCACTCACCTCTTCCTACAAAGCTCGATCCCACAATCTCGCCGCACAGTTCACATCTCTACACCAGAGTAGCCGCGCGTCTCTTAGGAGCGTGACCATCTTCCTAGCTGATGTATCAGCTCTTTTTCAAACCCTACAAGACTCCTCCGTGTCCTGAGGCATGGCGGTCAAGGGATTAAAATCCTTGTCTTAAACCTTTCTAATCACTCAGTCAAATATGGAACTGTCTCCTTCCAGTGTAAACAACCTGTTGTTTGCACCCATTTCAAATCCGGATCCGGGAGAACTACCTCCAATTACAGAGGTATATATCACAGCCCTCTTTTAATGCGGAACCGTGAACGGTTGGTCAAATACCCGTTAATCCGGATTCTCCTAGCTACAAACGCCGTGGATGACCAACAGTATGGATTCTCGGCTCAAAGATCCGTCAGTGGCTTCCAGCTTCACTTCTTTGAGACCATCACAGCATCCTACGACGCTGAATACTCCACTGTGACAGTTCACCTGGATATTTAAAAAGACTTTGACCGGGCCCCCATGCATCCCTTTTACACAAACGGAGTGCCGTTGGCATCACGGGAATCTTATTTCAGTGGTCCGCCTCCTCTTATAGGAAAGGATGCAAAGAACGCAAATCGGGGACGCACAATTTCCCCCACAATCGGTCACCAGTGGAGCGATCCAAGGAAGCGTGAAAAGCCCCATCCTCTTCCAACTGTACGCCATTTACGTCTTCGGCACCATATCCCATGGTGAGGTTAAGCCCTTCGCGGCGGACATAAAAATCGAGTAGATATTTCCCCCTCTGCGCAAGCCCTTGCCTTTAACCAAATTAAACAAGGCTTAGATTCACTGACTCGCTGGTCAAGTGACTCTGACCTAGGCTTCTCCTCCATGAAATCTTGCATAACTTCATGCCGCTGCTCCCAGCTGACGCTTTTACAATTGGTGAAAATCCTATCCTATCAGACGGAAATCAAAGATCTCGGCCTCAGATGCCCATTTCCCACGCCTTTTCTACGCCTTTCCCACCATGTGCATTTTCAGGTTGCTGGAGCAAGCAGGCTCAGTTTTTCAATACTGGGCTCCTGTCGCCTTCCAGACAAAAGGGTTGCAATTTTTAAGCTATGCGTAAGACCAATCGTGGAATTCCGTCCCACCTTCTCCTCCCTTTATATACGAAATTGTAGACTCGCAATTGAAAGTGTCCAACGCTCATTCATAAAAAGCTGTTCCCTTGGCCCCACCCTCCACGCTTACCACTCCCGCTGTAAACTCTGGGCCACCAACCATCGTGGTTCAGACGGTTGAAGATGCATCTCTTAAACCGTCTGCTGCACAACACCGCCTTTATAGCAGAGGCTAGACCAAACGTAAACTCAAGTCCTCATTACGGATTTCGTAACTCTTGCAACCACTTAGTTTGTCCTCCAGCTCGTACAAACCTACACCGCCACTTCTTTCCAGTTTATTATGCTTGCATCTGGAACAGCCTTCCCGAGCAGCTGCGAAGCATCACGCATCATCATACTTTTTCTCAGTATGTAAACAAAGTCCTGAAACTGCTGGCGCCTTACTTAATACCCAACTACCTCCCGATCTCCTCTACGAAACGGGTCTAGTGCGCATCTGAGTTTAGCGACGATACAGTTAGTGGGTAAGTAAAAGATCTTGGTATCATTTCTTCCTGTCCCCTTGACCTGCTTCAAGCGAGTGTAGGACTTAAATACCTACTCGATCTAAATATGGTTTTGTTGCCCAGCCAACTGATACATCGTAGTCGTTTAGTCCATACCCCTGATTACTCTATCAACTCTGTCAAGCGTCTATTGCTCTTGCCAAACTGTACTGACAAAAACCAAACCAAAGTTAGCTCGTTTTTACTTCAGTTCACTGTATGACTTAAGCGCCCAC